TACAATTATCGAATAGCCAAGTCCTTTTTTTCTTGGATTGTTTGTTGCTTTTTATCCAATGTGCATTTTTATTTTTACATATTGTTCTTACTTCTATCTAAAGTGCCTATTATGTGGAAGTCCTAAGCACACCGTTTGGTAAGCCCACCCCTTACGAATATAAAAATGCGTCGTAGTGCTGAATTTACCAGACCAAGCTGATGACAATGACTACCGAAAATGAACGTGGGATTTTGAACTGCAAAATGTACGACGCTAAAGTTTTTTTGTTTTTTATTTTACTTGAACTTTTTTTATTTTGAGAATTCAAGGTTTTTTTATGGTTTCCTCACTCCTATTTTTCTTTAAACGGCTTATTATTTAGATTAAAACTCGTATAAACCGGGAAAAATCAGCAATCGACCGGGTAAATGAATGAGCCTCGAATTTATTGTACTATTTTGTTCATAATGTACTACTGTACGGGAAAGTCCAGTTTGCCAGGCAGAAATGTAGTCAGAAATCGTTTAAATAATGTTTTGAACCAATTTCCTCAAAGTTTTTTTTTAATTTAAAAAAAAATATTTTTATAATCCTTGGCACATTTAAAAGAAAAAACTATTAAGATGAATATACATAACCCTACAGTTTTCGAGTAAAAATTTCCAAAGTTTAAGAAAAACGATTTTTTCCTAGCTCAGGCGTTTTTGAGAGGCTGGTGCGCCCTCGGTAGGAAAAAAGCATTCGCCACATAAGCGCCATCGCTCTGTAGCTACCTTACGTCCCTCGGGCTCTGCTTCGCAGGTCCCTTGGGCCGCAAAATAGCCCCGGAGACGATGGCACTTATGTGGTCAATCCAACTTTTCCTACCAGCTCCTCAAAAACGCTCGGGGTAGGAAAATCACATTTTTTTAAATCTTCAGGAATTGTTTTACCCAAAAACTGTGGAGTTAAGGTATACACATCCCAATTACATTTCAAATGTGCCGAAGAATATAAATAGTAGTTTTCGTCGGATAAGTGCCATCGTCTCCGGGGCTATTTTGCGGCCCAAGGGACCTGCGCAGCAGGGCTCGAGGGACGTAAGGTAGCCACGGAGCTATGGCACTTATGTGGCGAATGCTATTTTTCCTACCGAGGGCACACCAGCCTGTAAAAAATGCCCGAGGTAGAAAAAATATTTTTTCAAATAAAAAAACAACTCTTTGATAAATTGTGTATGAAACCAGTGGATAGTGGGTGCTTGGGTACCCAAGTATGAAGTTTGTGACGTTCCTTTTCGCGTCACGATGTTCTTTAAGAACGAATAAAAAAAATAATGTGGGACTTTGCCTGGAAGGGAGAGTCGAGATGACGAGGGAGAAAAATTTCTCTACATGCGCGTGATGAAGCGATGGGTGTCGTAATTTTGAATTGTCTACGTACTTAAAAAATACTAGCACACACTGTGCGGATATCCTTCTCCTCGGCCGAATGGAATTTGAATGATTAAGGAGGATAAAGTATGAGGAACGGGCACTCGTCACTGTGGCTAAGCCATAGATCGAGGAGGCCCGGAATGATATGAGATTCTCGTCCTCGTACTTACGACCTTGGCATTATTGCAGAACTGGAACAAGCGAGAGAGAGGGCTCCACCGCCATCCGATGCTTCCCTAGACGTTCGACGAAAGCTGAAATGATACTTGCATGCAAAGACGCCAAATTCAAAGAAACAAGCGAGGCGGGATTTTGTTTAAGTACCAAGGCTTTAATGTAGCAAACTTAACAATACATATCTTTCTATAATGCATACAAATCACTACATCAAGCAAAACGTAATATTTAAATAAAGGCGTACAAAAGTGATCGAATAGCAAAGAAAGGAAAAGTAAGCGCTTAAGCGATAACCAATATGAGCTTAAGCCAAAATTATAATTTGTTTGAAATAATAACCAACGCGATGCATTGAAGCAAATTATAGCGGTGCATTTAAGCTACTCTACATCAAGCATTGAAGCTAAGTGCCTTGGTGCATTGAAGCGCAACACGAATGTATGGTGGATTCCCCGTTGGCACCAGAAAGATCAAGTGTCTCGACCAAGCCAGTACCATAGGAAGAATGCCTGTCGTCGTGCGCTCGCCGTGCTTGGATGGTGCTGTCGGATCGCTTGCGGTAGGCGCTGCCGAAACCCATTTCCTATGCGCCGATTGGTAACTTGCGGTGATGGGCCATGAATTGAAGCCCTGCAAGCATTGCACTGCGCGCGGCGATCTACCTGCTCTCCGCCCAGCGTGCACCTATTTAAAACACACTTAATAGCAAGCACAGCGTTAGCTATCAACATACAATGAGAACAAAAAATATTTCTACCTATAAACACAAGATATAATAAAGACCACCAATCACACATCGCTTCACCCATTATTAAGAATAAATTAATTAATTAATTCAAATACGAGAGGCTAGTCGGTCACAAGTTATACTTCTATAAAATTATATGGCAAATAATATAATTTTGAGTATAAAAATACCTTCTATGAAACAATACTGTGTACAAAGGTGGTGCAATTATCGTGGGAATGAGTATGCATAGAATTAGGTGTGATTTTAATTAATATTTAACGAGTGAACGATTATAAATAACATATTACGGCAGAATACAATAAAAATAATATATAGTCTGAACAGTACAAGACTGTGCGCTTTTATCGAATCTTTCGGTGATTTCAGAACAACTTCCTACTGCCTACACTGATTACATCTGTAAATCTGTAACGTCACGCTTATATCTATCACATACGATTTCACACGTATTCCTAGTCCATATTTAATACCTAAAGTATTATTGTATATAGAAAATTAAGAAAAACCATCCTGTAGTATCGCTTTCTTCAATAAGGTAGTATTACATGTCAGTGAATGTCCCTTCAGGATGTTCATCACACATAGGTTTTTTTGATAGATATTATTCAAACGTCAAACGTATATTGAAATAGCATAAAAAATATCCACAAAAATTGCAGCTCGTTTAAGTGTACCATTATCTTATAAATGATACATTTAAAAAAGTAGTCATTTAACGTGTAACCTCATAAAAAAATCACGTTAAATGGAATTTATATGATTTGTAGGAATCTCCCGATTTTTTGGGTACAAAAGATTACTTTCAGAGAAACCCATCGAATTTTCAAATAGATCCACAAGTTGGTTTTTAAATGAATTTAGAAAGAGGGGATGAAGTGTGCGTAAGTGCATGTATGTGTACATCCACATGAGAAAAACAATTTCTAGCTTTACTGCATACATTAGCGTTCCTCTGACTTCTCTGAACTTTTTCCCCACTAACTATGTGAAGAACGTCCTTAAGTCAAAATATCACTTTAATCAAAAAATTGTAAAAGAATAAAACACAATGACAATTAATGATTGTATTTGCACAGTACGAATAAGCTTTTTTTTTATTTTTCAAAAATTTTAAGAAATACTAAAAATCGCTGTAACAATTATTCATTTACTATAAAAGTAACAAATTTAATACATAGAAATAAATATTTCAAAACGTAAGAAAGGTGCTTTGTTAAAATAATTTACTAATTTTCAAGNTATTGTTTATATTGTATTTTGCCATAAAATATTGTTTAGAATTGTTCCGCTATAAGACTTTAAAATATTTATTTTAACCACACCCAGTAAATGAAGGTATACTCATTCCAAGGATAATTGCACCACCTTTGTAACTAATATCGTTTTATACGAGGTATACTTATATTTTTAATTATATTTCCTGCCATATAACTTTAAAGAAGTATAATTTCTTACTTGAATACTAAAGTGCCTACTGTCCACTGGCTTTTTTTTTTTTTTTTTTTTAAATTGGTTAAAAGAAATAAAATTCATACAGTTTAAAATGTGTGGCGTGGTGATGTGATGTAACATCATGTGGTGTAGAGGAATCTAGGAGTACGTCACGGGGAACGAGGGGAAGGGGGAGATTCAAGCAAAATTCACTTCCGTCACACTTTTTCTCAAGGTCAAATTCTAAAATCGTTGATTTACCCTCGCGCATAACGTGCCTATAAAAGTATAACTTAAAAAATTGGTAAACTGTACTTTCCTATACAGTAGCACATTTTAAACAGCTAAAAAATTCTGGGCTACTTCATTGCTCGGTCAATTGGTGATTTAGCTCAGTCTAGTAGTGTAAAAATATTATGTACAAGATTTAGATAAAAAATCGATGGAGTAAAAATTGCATATCTCAGGAATATTGTGCATTTCCAAAAATATTGATTTGGTGCTTGTCAGGGCTGATATTATAGCTGATATCGCTTTGAAATCGATGCTTTTCAGCTAGCATATACTATAATGCATGTATATACGTATACTCGACCACCCTTGTAAAAGAGATAAAGTGAGTCTACACTCATTTTTGACTCTCTCCGTATCGACACATCGACAGTACTACTCTATTCACAAAGGATTACAAAGCATGTTTAAAAAATTTGCCACCATTTTTTTTAAGAACTCCATGTCATTTAGTTCATTGATCAGAGAATCTTTTACTGGATGCAGTAAGGAACTAGTAAGAGATGCAAATAGTAAATCGCTGCAGATTACAGCCTAAGTAGCACGATGTACTAGTCATCAAGCAATCCAAATTTATCGTACATCAAACACGTGGGGTAGAAATTATGTTTTCGTAGAATTTCTCAACTGGTTCTCTAGCACAGAGCCACATTTACGTGTATACAGGCTGCACGCACCATGACACTCAAGCGAGCTGCATCAGCAAAATAGGAGAGCGCGAGTGCGCAAGTGCCGATCGCGACTCAGCTTTTTTTTCCATTACTCTATCTCTCTTCTTCTTTTCATCCCCCGTCGTTCAGGCCTGTAAGGATAGGGGCTGCACCTATACCACCCCCAGATACACACTGCGAAGCTGTGCGGAGTGTCTGCTTGGCAAATACGCGATCACACGCACCTACTGCGCGGTACCTACCCTACCCATCAGCCCAGGCTAGTCGTGACCGCGTCGTGAACATGGCTGCTTCTGCTAATAGGCGCCTCTATGGTGGCCTGCTGTGTCTGGGCAGTTTTACCGTCTCGTTGGCCGGCGGCCCTACAGCCTACGGATTTACCCTGTTATTGTAGCACGCGAGGTGTTTGCTGGATTTCCTTCCTCATCCCCCCGTAAATATATTCATAACAACACTATTAAAGACAAATCAAGGGACACATCGTGGATTCTCCTATCATTGCTGTGTAGTCCGTGAGTGTATGTGTGTCAAGTCGCTCCTGTCCAGCGACAGCAGAGTCCCGAAGATAGTATCAGTCGCTACATGAGTCGGGCGCGACAACTCCAGCAACAGTGCCAGCTCCGAGCTTCTTCTGGACCAGTATTGTCGCTGAATACCAGCAGGAGCGAGCGGCGCCTCAGCAACAGTATAAAGCTCCTCCTACGCCTTGTTAGTTTGACACTGTTACCAGCTTCGCTGTTGCCGTTGTTGTTACAGTCACACCTGGTGGTCCAGGTGTTGCCTTCGTCCTCGCTGTATCTGACAGAACGAAAAACGAGCTTAGACTTTTATTGACCAGGAGGGAGGAGAGAGATCTGACGAACCGGCTGACGAGATGATCATGTACACAGTCGCCGATGACCACATGGGGGAGTCCGAGATTGCTCAGGTATGGGTCCATCTCTGTACACTTGTACGTCATTCGTCCCATCACTGATAAAGATGATGATGATTCTCTCTGACGGCAATTTGTCTTGTTTTACGTACATTGCGTACGCACAATTCAATCACAGTAATTCAATCATACACGTCAACCGCATGTTGAAAGTGCGTTATACACGCAAAATGTGTCAAATCAATGTCATGAAGATTTTTTTTTTTTTTTTTTTTCTTAATTGCCATCTCTGAAGAAGCTGTGCTTACTTAGCATCGCTGTAGCTCTTGACTCTCTCGAGGGACGGCAAAAGGGTGATGTGAACTATTTCGAGAAGCTGTAAGTGTGTCATTGCGAGCTGCTGATATAAATAGGCCTTGAGCAAGAGATGGGGGCTCCCTGTTGTTGACTTAGCGATTTTCGGAAAAACGGGAAAAAGGAAGACCATGGGTTGAGCGACGCGCAAATCCAAAAGGGAGGTTTCTCCAAATTTAATGACTGTAAACACGGAGCCTGTAGTGGGATGTCGTTGCACGTTGCAAAGAGTATTAAAAAGGCTACGGAAATAAATAAATAAATAAACGATATACGTACCTTTACTTTTATCTCGGTGGAATATGAATGAAATCGTGGTATCAGATATTTTTTTATTCCGTTCGACATGTTTACATAATATATTAACCTACAGGAATTATTAGTATCGCGAGATTTTTTTAAACAAGTAAATTTAAATAACTTTTTTTTTTCATACAAATAACTTGTCATTACTGGATTTTTAAAAATCCAATTCTATCAAACGATAATACATAAAAATGCTTTACAGAAAAGTTAGAATTTTGAGTTTAAATTTTAACAGATGAACCAGACTTGAATATCAAGTCACGTGGGAGCGCAAAGAGGCAAGGTTGAATTAAAAATATACATGAATATTTTAAGGCTGAACTAGAATTTTTCCGGGGTAAAAATGCTTTGCAGTACCATTTATCTCTTTTATCTGGTACATAATCGCCTGAACCATTAAAATGAAAATTTTAGCATCAACGTTCACGTACCATGAGATTGCAGGAGCAGTTCGTAATGAATCGCTTTAGGAAAAAGTTCGTCGTGTACTTTAAAACAATATGAATACATACGAGAAAAAATTAATCCCATGTTATTCAGAACTTTAAGGCTTTATTGTATCACAGGATTTACGTTCGATTTTCTTCAAGTGTCTCTCAATAAATTTTTTATTTTTTTTTTCTGCTACCACTAGTCATATTGGGTGCGCTTCGAAAACTCATTAAAAATATTTTTTAACCATGTACATTTCGAGAAGTAGTTATATAATTTATGAATAGTATTGACCAATTATTAAATTTTTTCCATATTGTAGTACGTCTATTTTTATTTTGCTAAAAAAATACTGCGTAACATACTTAACCCTTGCATTATAGTATGTTTATCATTGATACTTTAAATTTTATTTTTTGTCCAGAGGATGGATCGATGAAATTAAAATTTTAATTACATTTAGTATTAACCGTGAACGTCTTTGAAATCATAACCACATGACTTCAGCTTGAACTAGTCATTCAACGAATAAAGGGCTTTATTCGTAATGATTCTTTTTTTTAGGATAGGATTCGAATTGCGTAATTTTTTATCAACGAGGTCAAGTTTTCTTTTAAATATTTTATTTAAAAACAAATTTCTTTTTTCTCATGACTTTTTTAGATTCCCATTAAATTTAGAATCACAAGGCAAGAAATTTAATTTTGCAAATATAACTTTTCAAAACAATATCATGCAACGTTTTTAATATAGGTATATTACATAAAAATAAAAACTAATAAAAATTAGCAAAAATTTCATATCTCACATTTCAGATTTTCTGGAATATACGAGTGTATAATCTAAACTGACCTATTTTTACGTAACCATTAAAAAATAGAAAAATTTCAATGTTAAAAGTATGACATTATTATCACGATTATAATAGTTTTTCAATTTAGTATAATTTAAACATCATTGCATTTATCAAACAATGAAATTGAAATAAATGCAAAGATAGTTATGTTTATTTAATTTGAGCTGAAAGTAGAGGCAGGTATGTAATATGTCGTCCTTTTTTACAAATTTCCTTCCAATTTGAAAAATGTAAAATAGTAAGCTATCTAGCCATTGTATATTATTTATATACGTCCATCTCTTAACCATCATCGAACACTAACTGTAAATTAATCGACCACGTATTATTCGTTTTATTTCTCGCTCTCTATTATTCATACCCAAAGAGGGATCAAACGAAAAACTAGTTAAAGGACAATTTTATTCAGCTAACTACTTAATTAATTAGGATTTTGCATGAAAAATTCTATTTGGTCCATCTTGTATAGTTTTGAAAAATAATTGACACGTATTTTTTCTTTTTTCTTACAAATAAAAATTTAAAAAGGTGTAGTACCTGAAAATTATGGTGGTTCAAAAGTTATAAAAAACACCATATTTATACGTGTGACATTGTAAAGTATACATTATGAATGAAAATTTTACAATTACGTACGAAAAAAATTAGCCCAGAAACATAAAAAACGAGAACAGCGTTTTGAATAAAGTATCGAACACATATATAACCTTAAATAAAGTAAAAACAGTTTCACAAAATTCCCTCAATATTTTACCTTGTCTGCATTATATCAAAACTAAGTATTCCTGAAAGTTTTAAGAAAAAATATTTATTTTTACTCGAGTTATAGTAAAAAATCAAAATGACTGTTTTTCACATATGTCTTTATGACGTCATATACACAAGGAGTATATCTATAGTGAAACAAAAAACGGTTTTTCGGATGTATAAGTTGTTTCGAGATACTTTCGAGGTTTCCTGTGAAAGACAAAGTTGTAGATATGATATAGAAATACAACTTTTTCGTACTTAATATTTTCATCCAGGATGCAACCCAAACGTTCTGTGAGACAAAAAGTGCTCAAAAATCGCTATAATACAGCTTTTTTTTATCTAACTTATTGTTTTATATTTTTGTTATACTCTCACTATATGAAGTTATACTTCTATAAAATTATATGGCAGACAATATAATCATTATCAATAAAAAAATAAAACGATATTGTGTACGAAGGTAGTGCAATTATCGTTGGAATGAGTATACCTACGTTAATTGGGTGTAGTTCCAATTAAATTTTTAATATTTAATAAATGAATGGTTATAAATAATATATTACGGTACAATATAATATAAACAACATGGAGGCTAACCTACATCTCTAACGTCACGCTCACATCTGTCACATACGCTCAATTCCTACTTAACGTTTTCCTAGTCTATATTTAATACCCAAAATATAATATATCTGAAAGGTTAAGAAAAACCATCCTGTAGTACCGCTTACCACTTTCTTCAATAGGGTAGTATTACATGCCAGTAAATGTCCCTTCAGGACATTCATCACACATAGGTATTTTGACAGATATTATTCAAACATCGAACGTATATTCGAAATAACATTGAAAATACCCACAAAAAGTTGTAGGTCGTTTAAGTGTACCCTTTTTTATATGTTTAATTTTAAAAAATCACAATTTAATATGTAACCTTAGGGAAAAATTACGTAAAATTGCATTATTTGATTTGTAGAAATCTCCCAATGTCTGTTTGTATGAAAGATTATAGATCTACAAATTGTTTTTATTTAATAACACAAGAAAGAGGGGGTCAAATATGCGTAAAATCTTATAAGCAAGTACATTTATATGAGAAAAATCATTGCCAGCGTTGTTATTCGCTACGTGTGCACAATTTTGAAGCAGCGCCACCGAGGGAAAAACGAGAACTATTGGTCGGGCACAGTAGAAGGCAATATTCGTGATATGTGCTTGATACCTCTAGGATCACAGCACCTTGATAGATACACGAAAGGTTCTGTGTTTATTATACCACGAATTAATACAATATCTCAAGTGGTATAATCCTACGTAAATAACTAAAGACAAAATTCGTACTACAAGCACTATAAGCGCTTGAGTATTACTTCAACACAAGTCCGTGTACTGTGTGATACGTGATACATTTTATTAGTTTGCAATTAGTCAACGCAGACCTCCTCTGACCAATCAGAGAGCTCCATTAGCCCTATACCGGCGTGTTCACACAGTATGTACACACGTTCATACGATACACTTAGAGGATCAGGCCCCAGCTAAAAACTCTAAGAAATACACAGTATCCAATGTATTTCACTGCGTTTTTTAATGAACATGCCTGAGTAAAATATTTACATACTACTCATAATTTTATTAAAAATTTAACCCTTAGAATGGTTGTCGATGTATAAACACAACTTTCTGATGATAGTAATGCTTAGTAGTCTGCTAGCAGAAGACAAACATATCGTTTAGTTTCACATATTAGCACAGGTATTGCTGCGATCGCTTTTTCAGCTTGTGCACGTAGCGAATATTAGTGCTTGTCTCATGTCTCCGAATTTTCCCCCCGCTAACTATGTGATGAATGTCCTGGAGTCAAAAAATCAGCTCAATAACGAATGGAAAAATTGTGAATGAATATAACACAATCAAAATCAATCATTGTATTACTTAATTCAGAACAAAAAATTTTTTTTTTCATTTTTGAAATTTTTAAAAAATGTAAAGAAATTGTATGAACAATTATTTATTTATTATAAAAAATACAAATTAGTGATGAATATTCATTAGTACATAGAAAAACTGCTCTACCACACATACTAATTTTTAAGTTTTCGAAAAAAAAATTTGACTGAAAAAATTAGTTTATTAATAAATTATGTATTTATTAATGTACTTAATAGTTAAACCAAATTATTTAATAAACAGTAAATGAAAATGTACATTAAAAATAAGTTACGAACCACAGCGTAACAAAAGTAATCGAATTTCCTACATTCAGATCACTCATAGCAGAGTGGGTACAAGTCTCAGCTATAGTGTGCAGGAGATCGTGAATTCAAGACTCATGAAAAGTACTTTTTTTATT